ATGAAGAAAATTAGCGCCGGCTGCAAACTTCCAATGTCGTCACAAGAAGTTGAAGGGGGACCGGTAATAAGCTCGGACTAACATCGACCAGGTTGTTGTTTTTTTAGGTACCGCTTTGGTTTCGTTGATTTTCGGGTCACGTCGTTTGTTTGTTTGTTCGTGGATGGAGGGAGGGAGGGAGGGAAGACTTGATTTTTGGGCAGGAGGAGGAAGAAGATTGAAGTTGGAAGAAGTGGACATCGGCTAATTGATAGCTCCTTTTTTTAGAGCTAGCTAGACAACATTTGACTGGAAACTGAAAAAGATGTAATGGCAATTGTGTAATTGTAATGTGTTTGGTAGTGGGTAGGATTAGGGGAATCTGTGAATATTTAAAGGCAATTTGTGGTGGGTCGGAGGAGGAGTTGGGTGTTTTTAGGGTTTTGGTGGGTTTTTAGGGTATTTTGTTCCATGTGATGCTGTTGTAAATATATGTGTACTTTGGCAGTGTAATATTTTGGTGGTTAGTGTGTGACAGTTTGCACCATGCTGTATGCAATCTTGTGTTGCTGGATTAGTTAATTAATTAATATAATTAGCCTTTGAATGGTTTTTAATAATCCTTTGCTAATTTGTTTTAATCCCTCAAAATTTGTGCATATGTCGCTTCTTGTGGGTGGGATGGGTTGTTACTCTCTTGTTCCCTTGCCACGGTTTTTTTTTTTTTTTTTGTTTTTGTTTTTGTTTTTGTTTTTTTAATGTAAAACGATAGATTTTGTTAAATTAGATGTTAGATTAGCCACTGACGGAATTTGAACTAGAAGCGGATTGGATTACTAACCTCCAATCTGCCCAAACCAACCGATCGAATTCAATTGAATTTTATGAATGATAAGTTAGATACTAATGAATCGAAATTAATTTTGATCGGTTGTTAATTTGGCGGAGCGGATTAAGTCACAAAATTTTGAATGCGATGTGATTGGATCTGATGGACACATCCAATTGAGATAATTCGGTCTAGTTGTTTGGTCAGAATATCCAACCCAACCCAATCTTTTTTTTTTTTTTGAAGCAACCCAACCCAATCTAGTTTCTTGGCTTTTTCTTCCTAAAGGTATTTCAAAGTCGAATACAGTACTAAGACTTAGTCAATTCATAGAACTGCTGTATTTAGAGGATCAAAACACTTTATAGAGCATTGAATTTTTGTCGGGCAATTAGCCACAAATGTTTCGACATTTCGTTGCACTTTTTAACACTTTCTAAAAATTACTTTTTTGATCGAATTTGCTTGTAAAAAGTTCATACTACACTTAATTAATCAGGAAGAGATACAAAATGAAATGACGCACCAACGACTTCTAACAACATTCTCCCATTTCGATGTTGCACCATCCCTCAGGCACCACAACTATACTCCCAGTAATTTTAAAAACAACCAAAAAGTCATTTTAAAGAACCTCATTTAACCAAAAAAAATACTTGCATTTCAATTTTATTTAAACCAAAATTCTTTGGATTTTGAATTATCACTACAACAACAATATGAAGACGCTACAACGATATTCCAATACTCTCTCTTTTATAATTCTAAACAACACAACCATACAACAATCTAATGATGCCATAACACTCCAACCATACTCCCCCTTTAATTCATTTGAACCAATACAACCACAATATTAATCTGATGATGCCACAACGATGCACCTCTTATTATGATTTTGAACCAACACAAGCACAACAACAATGTGATGATGTCCCAACGATACTCCAACAATACACCCTCCATTGTCTGATTTCGAACCACAACAATTTCATTCAAGGAACCCTCTCCTTATTCATTCTCCAAACACCACTATCAAATTTCAAAACCCGAACAATCGAAGAATAATGGATCTGAGAGGTGGAGCAATCGAAACAGTACTTAGCCACTAATCTGAGAGGTGGAGCAATCCAAATTTCAAATTAGATGTTCTTCACCGCTCCAGATTTGATTAGTCAAGGCGGAGCAACTGAAAAATGGATTTGACAGTGTCGTTAGGTGCCATTAGGGCGTTGCTGTTTTTGGTGGCTTATGATGAATGAAGGACATGTTGATCAATAAAAAGATCAATGAAGGATAATATGGACTTTTCACAGGCAGAATTGATCAAGATAACAATTTTTAGAAAATGTAACTAAATGTCAAAACCTGTCTATTGTAGCTAATTGCTCATTTTTATTTAACACTTACATCTAGTAAACCGTGTGGCTTTATTTGATTTGATAGGAATTAGATTCATATTTTGATATATTACAAGTGATCATCCAATCTTAACCCAATTCAGTACCGATTGAATCTGATCGGCTTGGTTTAGGTTAAGATCAATTAGTAAATTAGTCAATTACAATTGTAAATTTGAATACGGTTGTATGTATTCATCCATTCTAATTCGACAAGCATGCCAAGTTTTCTAACAACATAACTTATAATTCAATGGTTATGCATGTTACTAACATGCATGCAAAATATGTCTTTTACCCCGCGTAGTTTTTGTTTTTTATTTTTTTATTTTTTTGTTTTTTGTTTTACAAACGATAGTGTTATTGGTTAGAGGGGTCAGCGGAGATTAAACATGCACCAGAATACATAGACATCATTACTGTTGGTCACTGCGGTAAAGTGTCATCTGTTCCTGAGTAAATTTTATTGTAGAATAGCAAAGACAAAGACATCATAGACGAGTTAATGCCAAACCTGATTTATGTCTCTAGAGAAAAAGAGTAGGACATCAGCTCACCATTTCATACATTTTGCTAAGTTATTATATCTTCCATCATACGTTATACGTAGTACTAAATGCTACGAGCATTGGATGACCTAAATTGATTTGAATTATTGTCTTGTAAATCCAGGCCATCTATTGCTCGTAGCACCGAAGTGAAACCCATATAAATTAGTTGATTAACTTACTCTGCATTCTGTAATTACTGCAAATTAGCTTCGAGTTTCAGCTACCATGACCAATGCTCCAATAGATTGCAGTGTGAGGGATGGGAGTCTATATTCTGTTGTATGGGGACATCCTTCCCAATCAACCTTGTTGATATGTTGAATCAAAACAAACGATGGGCCATGGGCCTCCTTGAGGTGGCTTTCTCTAAATATAGTCCAATTACATTTGGCACTCAAGATATGGGCCTTTAATGGGCCTTGCTTATGTTCATTCTGGGTTTTGGCCCATTTGGTCAATTCCAATCGCCATGTATGCTTTCCTCCCTCCTCCTCCCCCCCACCCCCCCCCCCCAACGCCCCCCCCAAAAAAAAAACTAGCTCTTCTCAAAGGAATTATCATCTTTCCAAAGGTAACATTCCATTTCAATCATTTTTCAAGATAATATATATTAGATTACCAAACTGTCTAACTTCTAAATAAACATATTATCATCTAAATACATACTTGAAATTTTTTGATTAATTAGTGCAAATGAACAATTTGATGATATAACAAGTCAAAATGTCTTAAAACAGAATATTCGGTTTTGTTTTGTAGTTTCATGCTCTAGGGTCGAATTTGACATGTTACTAGTACAATTGCAGATTTTAGAGCCAAGTTTTTTCTTATATGCATTCTAGACTTTGTTTTAGCAGGAGGGAGGAACATTCCAAAGGTGGTGGAATGACCAAAGGATGTGGATGATGTGGACCATTAGGGGACTCTCAAGCTACTTGTTTTGATCCACTTGAGTTCTTACTCAATCCTTCGGCATTTCCACACATGGGTTCAATCTGACTAGCAAAATCTTCGACGACGATCAAAGCGAAAGGTACGAACAGGGAATCGTGGATTTTGAAGTCCCATCGTCCATGTTTGTGCCCTTAACAATGGCTGCCGTTGTGAACTTGGCTGCCTCCATTTGGGAGCTTGTGGAGATTTTCAGAGGAAGCAATAATCTGGACGGGCTGTTTGTGCAGATGTTTATAGCTGGTTTTGGGATAGTTAACAACATACCAATTTATGAAGCCCTAATCTTAGGACCGATAAGGGAAAATTTCCAACAAAAACTACCATAGTTTCAGCATTTCTAGCAGTTGCTCTCATAAAAGCAATCAAAGAAATAGAGATTTGTACATTACTTGTCATACTCATAATTTAAAGCCAAAGCCAAAGCCATTGCTAATAAAATGGAACTATGTTTGTAGTGGATTGAGCCTTGATGGGATACCAACAGCATTATGACAAAATTGTTTATGTTTATCGTCTATGTGACATCTCTGCCTCGGGACCCTTAGTTCTAGTGGTGTGGTTTGTGTGGTAGTCGTATACGGGTTAAAATTATTTTTGTATTTTGTGTGAGTCAACTCTAGACCAAGAAATTGGTCACTAAAGAATATGCATCCATCTGGAACTGTTGTAATCAATTGTTCTTGGTAATGAAACTCTATTGCCTCTATAAAAATAAAAAAATAAAAAAAATTGTCTAAGTCAACTAATTTGCTTGAGTTGGAATAAAAAACAATGTGAATATAAAAATGCTCTTGTTCTATAAGACATTATATTGTCTGCTAATTAATCTAATTCCTCTAAAATGAGGGATTGAATTTCTTATTCCGTATGGACCCCACTTCTATTTTGATTCCTCCATGGTTGGTAAGTCCAACCTATTGTTTAGTTTTGATTACAGATTAATAACCATGTTATAAGCGTGGACTAAACCTAGAGCCAGAAATATGTTGTGGAGATCATTAAAGGTTTTATACAAATGAACTTTCTTTGTCGTCAAAACTTGTCGATATGTCCGAGTGGTTAAGGAGACAGACTTGAAATCTGTTGGGCTTCGCCCGCGCAGGTTCGAACCCTGCTGTCGACGATAATTTTTTTCGTTTTTCCTAATTTTCAGTTTATTTAATGATACTCTGTTTCCCTTACCAAATAGTGTGATTTTTCTATTTTTCAATATTGTTCACATAGCTTAATTTTTAAGGGCTACTACCACTCTAAAAAAAAAAAAAAAACCAAAAAAAAAACCCATTATGACATGTATGCTGTGAACTTTCACTGCTCAAAGTTTTATTGAGGCTTTGACAATTAGGTTTGTGCACACCTTCATCGAGGTTTAAGAAAATACAAGAGCTTCCCCCTACTCTCCCATTCCCTAATTAGAAATATAACTACGTACCCTCTCATCTAACTAGTTGCCGCCAAAACTGGACTCTCACTATGATGCGACTTCTTTCGTTCAGCACCACCTCATGCAGGAATAGTCCCACGAGAATGTGGTTTATGTCATGTATTCAGCACTGTCATGTGACAGGAACAGTCTCACGTAAGTTTTTTTCTTTTACACGCCTTGACTTATGAATCATGAGTTTGGATATAGACAACGACTGGTTCTCTCAAATCTTGATTAGTATAGTACCCAGGTAAACACCCAGAGTCCCTTAAAATCGAACTACTTTGGTCACTTGATGAACCTTCTTCAGTTGGTGTTGTTACACCAGAAATAGCATTATTGCCCGTTTGATGCTGTTGTTGCTGATTTTGTTGGTCCAACAATACAATAATACCTGGACTCTGATGGGATATTATTATGCTATGGTGCTGCTGTTGTACTACTGGGTCGGACACACCAGCAGCTGCAGGTGGTGGTGCAGGACTATCAAGTTTGGTACTGATTGGAATCACAGTGCATCTGCAAAGTGGGCAAGTTGTGTTGTTATGCAGCCAGTGATGTATGCAATCAACATGAAACACGTGTTTGCATGATCGCACTTGCAGCAACTCTTCTTCCATTTCGAATTCCCCCAAGCAAACACAGCATCTGTCACAGTTCAAATTTTAGGGTTACGTTAGCCTAACTTAAATCTGGTAATTACACCAAATTAAAAATACATGATGAGAGGTTGAATAAGCTAATAATATTGAGCTGTAGGTGAGGTCGTGATTTCAATGTTCGTTAGCTAACCACTTTCCGTGAAGAATCTTAGAAAGCAATTGGACACACAATTTTATTGAACTTTATTCACGTTTTGTCTCCTCCAAATATGCTACTTCTCATACTATACTTCTGTTTGGAACTAAAAAGCATTTTCTTTAGTACTTCTGATGATGTTTGGCACCGGAAACACTTTCAAATTATTTAAAAATATACTACTATATATGGTTGTGCTTTTTTTAGAAAATACTTCAAATTCTTTGTTTTTTTTTTCTTTCTAAAAAGCACCTGCATTTATATCAAATTATGAATAGAAGTTGTTTTTATTGAAATCACTTCTGAGCATAAATGTTTGTTTTTTATAAAAACATTTCTAAACGGGTATCTTTCTCAAAAGCACTTTTGAGAAAAGTAGTGGTTGCCATGTAAGATTCTAAACTGACATGTGTAGAGATTTAAACCTTCTATTACAACTACCTTCGGGGCCTTTGTAGGCCATAACCGGTAGCAAGAATAAAACGCCATGATAACTAGAGGATAATTTCCAGGACGTGTCCTTTTCTAAAAGAGTTTTGAGGTGGAAACTTAACTGTTTAATTGCTTCTTTTTCCTCAAATATCCAAAGATGGTTGGCTAATTAGTGCATATTGGCTTATCAACTTCAAGATGTGATATGACACCATATTGGCACATGCCACGTGTTGTATGGCACGATGATTATGGACCGCATTGCTGTCTTCGATACAAGATCTATTCGATTTGGGTAGAAGTATGCTAGAGATAAAAACGTACAGTTTATGGTAGAAATAATTTAAACTTACTGTGAATCCTTTTTCCTTTGTTCTTCATCAAATAAAATTGTTTGAAGCTTCTCCTTGAGCTCCCCCTTCAAACCCACCGGACAATCCTACACATATAATGTAATAACATCAGATATAAATTGGATTTGGAAATAAAGGATGCTGTATGTATATAATCAGACTCTGCAAATTGTTGTATGAATATGTTGCTTTGTTAATACAATCGTGCGTACGAACACGATCGATGCTATAGGTCTGCAATTGGAACTCAAGATATATTTAAGCATAAGTTATAATACAAATAGTATTAAATCGTTACGAAATCTTTTGCTTTTTTTTTTTTTATTATTACAAAGAAGGGTTTCAAACGCAATATATCTAGCCTACTCTTACCATCACCTTACCCAGCTTCACCAATAATTTGTTAGTTTGTATGCATGCATCTATGTTAATGTTATGAGAGAGAGAGAGAGAGAGACTTACAGTGGAAACATAATATGTGGTAGGTGCAGCTTGAAGATTATAGTTATTACTCCTTGGAAGAACTGGTTGAGAAGATGATAAGAGAGCGGAAGCCCTTCTTTTGAGGTAGAACAAGTAGAAGAGGAGAAAAAGGATGATGGAAAAAAGGATAGGAATCGAGAATATGAAGGCCTGGTAAAGTTTAAGTTGGAGTGCTTGAGGATAAAGGTGAGAATTACTAGTGCTGTTTGGAGTTTGAGGAAGACTGGCCATATCTTATCACCTAGCTTCCAAAACCTGGAGAGATTATTTTGCCTGTTACTAATTAGCTCAATATATGTAGGAATCAGAAACGCCTTGTTGATGACTGTAATGGAGAGAAGTTGGTGTGGTATGTAGAGGGTTTTTATATAATATTATTATATACACAGTCATTCTCTTTTATAAATATATATATATATATATATATAGTTGATCATGTTAAATCTTATTTGATTTTATATGATCCCACCTAATTAAACAATTTGGTTCATATTTTAAGACAGAGCTTATCTCACTATCTAGTACAAAGGGAATTCTTAAATAGAGAGCACATACTTTGTGTGTGTGAACAATTTATCTTAATAATTGTGTATTTTTTTTTAATATTAGATAATTACTGTTTTGTCATCCTTATGTAAATACTGTGTATCAAAAGTGAGGGTAAAATTGGAAAAATAAGTATATGATTGTCATTTTCTAAAAAAAGAGGGTAAAATAGGAAAAATAGGGATATGATTGTCATTTTGTCAAAAGGTACAAAATTACTATTTTGCCCTCCTTTTGTCAATAGTGTGTATCAAAAGTGAGGGCAAAATAGGAAAAAAGGGAAAAAATTTGACAAGGAGGGTTCTCTTAATAGAATAGATAAATTAGGATAACTATTAAATGATGAAAAAAGTGAATTAAAATTAAAATTATTTCAAATTATATCAAGTGTTGCAGTCATATTTAGAATATAAATGTGATTGTGTAAACCCTAGTAGATATGAGAACGTATCTTATATTCCTATTAGGAGTAGATTACCTATTAAATGTTGTAATCCTAAAGAGAAAGATTTTTACCTATCCTATTACTATAAATAAAGGCACAATGAGGTAAATCAAACACACCTGACAATTAAATCACTCTCTCTTCTCTCTAACCATAGTCGGCCCCCTCTCTCTCTCTAAACCCTAGATCATTCAATCAAATAGGCCTACAACATGTTATTAGCACGCTTTTTCCAAAAGCTGAGGAATTGACACATCGTAGGAGGAGGCTATCATTCACCAAATTCAAAGGCTTATTCATTTTCTACTAATCAGGTACGCTTAAAATAAAAGAAGATATTTGAAACGTCCACGAAACATGAAAACATTCCCCATGATGCATGAACCCCTCTATGTTTATATTTTTCTTATGATATATATATATATATATGTATTGTAATATGTTTATATATTTGTTTCATGCATCGCACAATTAAATTGTTATGTGGAATATGTGATTCAAATTATATAAAATAAATTAGAAGCATATTTAGGGTTTCCTAAACCCTAGGGGAAAAGTGCACACCACCGTGGCACCTTGTTGTGGTTTGGGTTCTCTCACCACGGGTCTACAGCCCTGCCCACGCCAACGCCCGCAAGCTTTTATGCATGCATGGGCCTTGCTATTGCCCGAGCTCGCAACCATTCACACCAGTCCAATTGGTTGGGTTCTTTTTCCCACGGCCGGCTTTAGCCAGCCCACGGGGCTGGGCTTTGTCCTTGCGCGCAGCCTTGCAGCCCATTGCAGCTGGGCTCCAGTGACTTAACAGGCCAGCAAACCTGCTGGGCCTTGCTCCCGTGCCTAGCCCCCCTGGTCCAACATGCTAGCCTTCAAGGCTGGGCCTACACCCCTGACCCGTGGCTTGCAGCCCACTCCCGAGGCCTTTAAGGCCTTGCCTACTCACGGCACCCAGCCTAATATATTTTTAGGGCTATATTTTTTATCCAATAATATTATTTTAATATTATTTAGGTTCTACAATTGACCTCGTATGGCCTGATTTATTGAATTAATTAAAAGTGACATGCTGTCCATTAATCTGATAATGAATCCAAATTATTGACCTGAATATCACTTTTGGACATTAATGATTCAATAATTTATTTGTATACTTTGAACCGTCGCATACTTTCGTAGTAACAAAGCTCTCAAACTTGAGTTCCCCAAAGAACCTCAAATCCACTATATTTAAATTAGTTTATTGTATTATGTGTTTCTTGCAGGAACCTCTCATTATGAACTAATTGTTCATAAAACTAAATTGAACCTGTAGTTTCAAATTTAGTGTCTTTGAAACCTAAAGTTTTCATTCAAAACATACCACATGAAACCTGTAGTTTTCATGTATAAATTAAACCAATACATGTTTATAGAACTTGTATATTTTACGATATATGTCTATGACTTACCATATGACTACTCACGTTTTTTTCCCTCTGTTTTAAGAACATGTCAAACTTGAACAAGCTCGATTTCTCTGCTCTAGAAGTCTCTGGAAGAAACTATCTGAAATGGGTTCAAGACATGAAGCTCCATCTGATTGCAAAGGGCATTAGAGCCACCATCGAGACACCTATCGCCGACAAACCTGTTAACGAAGCTCAGAAGGCTATTGCAATGATCTTCATTCGAAGACACATCTATGATACACTGCAGACTGAGTATCTCGCTGAGAAGGACTCACACACCCTCTGGCTGACTGTTTCGATCACCAGATAGACATATACTTGCCTGAAGCAAGACACGACTAGCTGCATCTTCGCTTCCAGGACTTTAAGTCCGTGAATGAATACAACTTTGAAGTTTGTAGAATCCGTTCTTTGTTGAAATTCTGTAAAGTGGAACTAATCGAATCAGATCTCTTAGAAAAGACCTATTCAACCTCTCATGCCACCAATATTGTCCTGCAGCAACAATATAGGGCACAAACATTCACCAAGTTTTTCCGATTTGATCTCTGTTTTACTTCTCGCTGAAAATAATAACCAGCTTTTGATGAAGAATTATCAATCGTGACCCACTGGCTCGAACGCCGCGCTTGAAGCGCATGCGATTAATTCTAGCAACCATAAATAACGAAATAATCGTCGTAACTGTGGCAATGGGCGGCAAGCCCCACCACGGCCCCAAGGTCAATAGAGTGCCGCACCTAAGGGAAGAAATGTGACCCAGCAGCGTTCACCATTCGCCCCTAAGGCCCCAAACTTCAAGAACAAGGGCATAACTCTCGTTTTGCCCACTTCTACTGAACTGGACATATGCTATCACTGTGGATCAAGGGATCATTGGTCACGCATATGCCAAGCTTCCCTTAAGGTTATTGCTAAGTATCATTCCCGTCCTGAGTCTAACTTTGCACATATGGATCATCCGGAAGATGCAACTACATCAATGGAGATATCGAATTTTCAGGAGGCGTCAGCGCCTATGGATAAATAAATTAGATATGGTTTTAGGGTGTTTACCCCTAGTGGACAAACCTACTAGGAGTGGCCGGCTCTACCTCTCTATTTTCTACGTTTATGGTTTAATTTTGAACAATTTTTCTAAGTATTTGGAATAATTTGTTTGGTTTTGGTTTGTTTTGAATTATGGATTGTTATTTGAATGGATATTATGTTCTCGAATTGCTTAATTGAATGAATGGACTTATATTTATACATGTGACCAATTCAATCAATTTATTTCTAGGTATATCTAGTGGGGAAGTTAGTTGTCTGGCAGATAGTGCAACCACGCACACCATATTGCGTGAACGACACTATTTTACTAACTTAATACCCAAGAAAGCTCATTTGACAACTCTCTCAGGCCCATCCAACCTAATTGAAGGATACGAAAAGGCACGTATCATGTTGTCTAATGGTACAATTTTGACCATTAAGGAGACACTCTATTCTCCACGTTTCGGAAGAACGTTCCTGAGTTTTAGAGATATTCGAGATAATCAATATCATATTGAAACCATTGAAAATTATGGTTCTGAATTTCTTTGTATCACTTCATACGAATATGGCCAGAAGCATATTCACGAGAAGTTGGAATGTTTGCCGAGTGGGTTGTATATCATAACCATTTACGGCATATAAGCCTATAGTGTGGCCGGGCTTATGCCTGAGTTCCAGGACACTTTGTTGCTTTGGCATGACCGTTTGGGACATCCTGGACGTGACATGATGCTCCGTATCCTCAAATCTTCACACATGCATAAGTTATATCCCTATGTTGGACTCCCGCCATGCAAAGCGTGTTCTTTAGGGAAGTTGAATACTCATCCCTCCTATATAAAGATTATTCACGACCCCCTTAAATTTCTTCAGATGATTCAAGGGGACATTTGTGGACCTATCCAACCAACCTGCGGACCATTTAGATACTTTATGGTGTTGGTTGATGCATCGACAAGATGGTCACATGTTTTCCTGTTATCCACACGCAACGCTGCATTTGCTAAACTCCTAGCTCAAATCATTAAGCTTAGGGCTCACCACCCTGATTATTCGATTAAGTCGATTCGACTGGATAACGTTGGAGAGTTTATGTCACAGACTTTTGACGATTATTGCATGTCAGTGGGGATTGATGTGGAACATCATGTACCCCATGTTCACACCCAAAACAGCTTGGCAAAAGCTTTCATAAAGCGCCTTCAATTGATCGCTCAGACTTTGGTTATGAGAACCAAACTACCGGTATCTGCCTGTGGCTATGCAATATTGCACGTAACTATGTTGGTCAGCCTGAGGCCCACCATTACCCAACCACATTCACTATTACATTTGGTCATTGGATACGAGCCTGACGTCTCGAATTTACTGGTGTTGGGTGCGCCATTTATGTGCCAATAACACCGCCACTACGTACCAAAATGGGTCCTCAGAGAAAAATGGGAATCTATTTCGATTATGATTCACCATCAATTGTTTGCTACTTAGAACCCTTGATAGGAGATCTCTTTACTGCACATTTTGTGGATTGTCACTTTGATGAGATAATATTTCTGTCGTTAGGGGGAGATAAGCATACTAACATTCCCGTTAAACACCGCGAATTGTCGTGGTATGCTCCCATTATGTCTCATTTAGATCCCCACACTGCCCAGTCTGAAACTGAGGTGCGATGAATTATAGATCTTCAAAGCATTGCTCAAAGCATGCCGGATGCTTTTAATGATCTAGCAAAGGTGATAAGATTACATATACTCGCTGCAAACACACCTGCAAGGATAGATGTACCCTGCGTAAGTCAACAACTCGCCTAGAAAGGCCGGACTATCCCCGAGGGTGGGGAGGCCGCACCTTCTACATGGCAAGGTACATTGGCAGCTAGCCAATCACCTGCTCTAACC